AAAATCAAAGCATCTTTTAGCATTTTTTATATTTATATATATAAAATTCCTGCTATAGAAAACAAAAAACCCAACCTTGGTTTTTTGGTTTTTCAAGGAAAAAAAAAATAATAATCATTTGCTTTGGGAAAAAACTAGCTCGAGATGGCCAGGAAACACAGGAATGGTGCCATGGAGTTACATGATGCTGCAGTTTTGCACAGCCTGAGCCTGGGAGGAAGAAAGAAAAAGAAGGAAATTAAGAATAACCCAGAGTTACTAATCCACGTGCTCCGGCTGCGAAGGAGGCAGCAACGTCCCCGCAGGACCCTCTGGATTCCCGCGGTGCCCGGACTGTGTGTGCCGCCCTGACCCTCGGGGTATAACAAATACCCCTTGGCTGGGGTGTTTAGAGCAGTGAAGTCAGGAATTTGAGAATTAGCGGGAATATTAACTAATATTGAGGAGATTAATCAAGTGTTGAAATATTTATGCTACCAGCATGGATAACACTTGCAGTGGTGGAACGAGACCACGGAGGATGAGGGATGCTCCGGGGCTGCCAAGGGGGCTGAGCACTGGGTGAGGAGATGCCATGGCCACATCCTTTTCCAGTCCCTCTCCGACTCCTCGCATCCCTTACAAAGAGGCTTGTGCGAGCCCGAAGGTGCCGGGGCAAGAGGAAAAGCAGAGGAGGAGGAGGGGAAGGGACCCCTGCAGCGCTGCCGTGCTGAGAAAGGATGATGCAGGGACAGGGAGGAGACCCAGCAGACAGGGACAACCCAGACCCAGGGTCTGGAAACAGCACTAACCTGCCTACGGGGGCTGGAGTTCCCCAGGAGGTAGGTCCTGGTCACCAGGTTGTCCCCAAGGCCGATGCTGCCAGAGTCACCAACGCTGCGGTAGCTGCGGGTGACGGTCACGCTGGAAGTGGAGGATCCCGAGGACACGGTGTTGACACCGGTGTTCTGGCTGCCCGACTTCTCGGCCGGCTGACCGCACATGCCACAGACCACCGTGCGCGAGCGGAGGTTGTATTCACCGGGGTCCCCAGAGCCGCTGCAGCTGCCCTGGATTGGGGGGGGACAGACAAAATGACCTTCAGCACCCACCCGAGCATCTTCTGCCTTGAGCATCCTGTCCCGAGGACCGTGGCAGCACCGGTGTGACCCAGGAGGGTTCTTCAAGTCAGTCTTCAAAGAGGATCTGCACTCCACCCATCCTCCACATCACGCAGTTTAAAAATAAATTATTATAATTATTATTAACCCCAGATTACTGGGGCTGGCACACTGCAGGGGGGTGATTTTACCCCAGGCTCTCAGCACACAGGACACATCGTAACTGTGCTTCTCTTGGGCTTATGCAAGAGCATCCTCTTCTTTGCTGCCTGGAGAGTGCAGGCTGACTGCTTTCCAATGGGAAATTCGCTCTTGGAAAGGATTCAGCCCCCAGACGAATGGGCAGCGCTGGCTCGCAGGAGCTTGGCTCCTCTGCCCAGGGATAATCGATATCTGTCTTGGCAGATCCAGAGGACTCAAAGGAAAGCGGATGATGGATGCCCCATCCTGCTCCCGTCACACTCCCACGGGGAGAGGCATCCAGCAGATTTTTCAGCAGCGTTGAGACACGGCGTGGTGCTGACGGCATCTCTCCATGCATGATCCCTGTGGGCATCTTGTGTGCGAGACAGACCTCTCCCTGCGGGATGGGCTGGTGGGAGCTCCTGGGCTACAGCCAGGGATGTTTTCCTTGATACAGGGAGAAGCGGCTGCAGCTCTGCTCCTGGCATGATGCCTGCTGCCTGCTCTCTGCCCGCTGCTCCTGCTGCTGCCTATTTCAGCTCCGTGATGGGCTGAGAGGAAGGACAAAGTCACCTCTGGATTGGTTCCAGCAGCCTCGTGAAGCGGAGAGGATGGAGCAGCTGCCGTGGAGAAGTGTCGTCCATCAACGTCCCACCATCCTGTCCTCCACCTCCACGCGATGTGAGGTACCAGCTCAGCCTCTTCCAGCCCTTTTTGCCTCAGGTCAAGGTTGCTCCGGACTGGAGATCACTTCCAGCAAGACCTCTAGAGCTTTTTTGGCAAGCAGTTTGTCTTCTCCAGGTGCCAGAGGTCTGTTGGCTTCTCCTGTGTGGTTGTTTCCACAGCAGCCCCCCAACTGCCTTCTCCCGTGGGGCCTGACCCTGTGCGATGCTGAGCTGCCTCCCACCCTGCCTGCCTCCCCCAGCATCCCTGCGGCGGACCCCTGGGACCAGCGTGGTACTCACGTGGTGATGGCGGTGGTGGATGTTAACTTCATCGTCATCCTCATCCTCATCTTCATCGTTGATGATCACTGTGCGGACCAGTTTCCGCATGGCCACCTCCTGCGGGGGACAGGAAAGGGGTTGGGGGGGGTGTCGGTGTCTGCTGACCCCCGTGCCCCGAGCTGGTGCTGCCAGCGGGCTCTCACCTCCCCGTTGGAGTTGATCAGGGCGGTGCGCAGGCTGTCCCCGGAGCCCCAGCTACTCTGGGCCTTCCACACCATGTTGCTGGGGGGGCTGTGGGTCGCCCCAGCCCCTGAGGCCCAGATCTAGGGGGAAGAGCACAGAGAAAAGCGATGTCTCAGGTCTGCAGAGCCCAGACCCTGGGCACGTGGATATGTCCTCCCAAAAAAGTCGCCCACCAAAGGAGGCTGTGCCCTGGCTCTGCGCCACCAACGGCCCCGGCTGGGTTTGGGATCGCGGCTGGATCCTTCAGCAGGCAGGGACTCACCGTGACCACCTGCCCAGCCTTCAGGGTGAACTTTGGGGGGAAGCGGTAGGTGATGGGGGGATCGTCTCCATTCTGCCGCTTGATCTGCCAGCTCCCCATCGCCTGGTCCTGTGAGAGAGAGCAGCAGCCCTGAGATCCCCGGTGCCTCCCCAGCTTGTCCCTGTTCCCCTCCTGCCCGTGGGGTGAAGTGGGGCTGACCTACACTCCCAGGGATCCCCCCCCGAAGGCACACGCACCTCATTGGACTTGTTCCTGAGACGGACGAACCTGCCCTCCAAGTCCACCTCCTCCACGCCAACGCGGCCGCTTGTCCGGGCGTGGTGGGAGAAGCTGGTCCGACTCTCGCTGTCCTCCAGCTTCCTCTTCTTGGAGGAGCCTGGGGTGGACAAGTGGCTACGGGATGCACCTTTGTGGGAGGAGGGGCTGGGGGACAGCCTCAGCCTGGGCAGGAGGAGAAGGCGAGATGCGTCAGGGAGGACACGAGGGCCGGGACCCGCAGAGCCGACCACGGCAGCCCCCTGCGCTCACCGCTCCTCCTCGCCCTCCAGCAGCTTGCGGTAGGCGTTGATCTCCATGTCCAGAGCCAGCTTGATGTCCAGCAGCTCCTGGTACTCGTCCAGCTGCTGCTGCATGCGTGCCCGCATCTCGGCCATCTCCCGCTCCTTGTCGGAGAGCAGGCGCCGTTGGGTCTCGCGTTCCCGGGCCAGAATATCCTCCAAATCGTGCAGCTTCGCCTCCTTGGCGGCCAACTGTGTGGGGAGGGAAGGTGAGGGCGGCTGCTCCACCTGGGGCCAGCCCCGGGATGAGGGACACACCATCCTGGGGGTGGACATCCAGAGGAACCCCTTGGTCCTGACTCACCTGCTTCTGCAGCTGGCTGACCTCCGAGGAGAGGCTGTCGATGCGGATGTGGGTCTGCTGCAGCTCCTCGTGGGCAGCACCCACCATGTTGCTGTTCCTCTCAGCCGACTGCTTGGCGTTCTCCAGCTGGAGGACGAGACGGGGGGGTTACCACCCCCAGCACCCTCTGCCCACCGGCACTCCGCAGGGCAGGGTGGGGGGAAGAGGGCGGCGGCGCGTGGGCGCTGCTCACCTTCGCCCCGTAGGTCTTCTCCAGCTCCTCCTTGTAAAGCCTGATCTGGGCTTCGTGCTGGCTGCGCAGCTCCTGCAGCGCTTCCCAGCGGTTGCTCTGTGCCGCCCGTTGTCGATCTCCACCAGCCGGGTCTCGTGGCGGCGCTTGGTCTCCCGCAGCTCCTGGGGACGGGTCAGGGGACACGGTGTCACCTCGGGCTGGGATCGGCTTGGGGATGGGGACACAACA